GTCATGTCATGATGTCATGAGAGAACACACTGTGGCACTGCGGCCAGCCAACACACACCTGTGCTCCTGCCCTCGCAGAACCCCAGTGGCTTCACCCTGCACTGGGCTCTGCCACTCAGGAGCCAGTTTCCTGTCTTATATATCTTATATCCACCCAGTTTGGAATCTCTGACAGCTGCTCTACGTCTGGGTTGGCGGAGACAGCCTCCGCACCCACGCACTGGGGGAATGAGGAATAGCAGACGAGCCCCCCCCCGTGCCCCACCCACGCTTTCGTCTTCCTGCAGAGCGAGAGCCACGTGGAGGAGCCCGCCTCTCGCCGACGCTGCCACAAGGCTGCCGGGGCACCTGGGAAACGGGAGGGGCCTGCGTTTGGCCCAGAGGCAAGAAGGGAGCTCCGGCCGACGGTTCCCATCCCTGCCCCCCCGGCCCGTGCCGTAGCCATTCACCGCCAGGCTGGTACCCGTGACGTGGCCAGGCTGCTCCCATCGGAAAGCGTGGCGATGCCTCGAGCCATGCCTACCCGGTCGCGAGCTATCTGCATCCTGAACACACCGGCCTGGAAGTAGGCGTACATGCCACTGTCAAAGAAGTACTCGGACAGCGCCAGGTACACCATGCGGTCAAACTCCCGGATCACCGGCATCGCCGCGTAGTTCACGATGGTGTCGCTCTCGTTGTGCCGATCGAAGAACATTCCCTGCAGAGCCACAGACACAGGGGACGGAGAGGTGGAGACAGGAGAGACTGTGAACTGATGTTTCTTAGAAAAACACAAGATCGGCTTTTTAAAAAGAAAAATCCATTAAAGGAGACTGGCTGGCACGGGTGTGATTTAAAAATGTATAAAAATAAAAATACACTTTGTAACTATGCAGATTTTCTTGCAGTAAAGTCAAGTGAATGAAAAATACAGCTCAGAGTGAAACAAATTTTAATTTATTTTCATTCTGCTCGTTTGTGAGCTGTTCAGGCAGGAAGAGGTGGAAAAATCTATACACTGATTAAGTGCCAAAATTCGGACGGGTAAATAATGATCACACACATTACATCTGTTTGGTGCTGTGTGATGTGACTGGGGGGGGCTATGTCGCAGTTACCCTGAAATCCATATCAAGGCTGGCAGAGGTCACCTCAGGGTCACTCAGTAGAGAGTAGTCAATGCCTACGTAGTTGTCGACAGGTGTGCGCACTGCAGAGACAGCACAACAGCACAGCAATAAGAGGTGGAGCAGGCTACAGCAGGGTGCACTCACTACACAGCAAAAGATGACTTATGGCAAATTGTTTCTGTTCCTGGGACAGTCAGAGCACAACTCCCTGTCTTGTTCATGTTCTGATGCTACAAATCTCCCCCTAAGAAGAAGTAGGTCAAGGATGATGTACAGTATCTAAACTGTGCCTCTGGAATTAGGGCCACATGTGATTTTTGTATTGTTTTAATGCAATGTATCTATACATTTAATGCATTTAAAATGCATTGCATCTAAGTGATAAACTGAACTTATCGTATTTGTCTACATAACAGAAACAGGCATGTCACTGTGTCATGTCAATGTCAATAAACGCGGGGTGTGAGTCACTGTGGGTGCAGAAGGGAGAGCAGGGTGCCGAGGGGTGTCTGCAAAGCCTCACCCGGAACCGTGTCCAGCAGAGAGTTCATCAGGACCAGCCCGGCGTGGTTCAGGACAGGGCAGATCTGGGACACACAGACAGAGAGACCACGTCTTTTCACTTAGACTTACTCCTGGTTTTCATGCTCTGCCTAATTCTTAAAAGTGTATGGGTATCGGTCAATATTTCTCAAAACTCACGATTGGCAACCTATTGAATGTCAACAGGTGTGAGCCTGGTCAGTACCTGGATGGGAGACCTTCTGGGAAAGCTCAGGTTGTTGCTAGAAGAGATGTTAGAGGGACCAGTAGGGAGCCCTCACTCATCTTGATAATCATAACATATTCCAGGGCGTTTCTCAAAAAGAGTAGGGGTGTTACCCCGGTGTCCTGACCCAATTTCCCCCAGGCCTTTACCAATCATGGCCTCCTAATAATGCCCATCTCTGAACTGGCTTCATCACTCTGCTCTCCTCCCCACTGAGAACTGGTGTGTGGGGAGAGGACTGGCACATCATCCAGGTACGG